GGCCTTTCCCGGCGTGTTCTGGCCCAGCCCGAGGGGTGACTTGCCTCCCCTCCCCGCATAGCCGCGCTTTCCTCGTGTCACAGCCTCACCTGCCAGCGAAGAGCCTGAATTAAATTGCTTTTTAGTCGCGAATTCATCCGCATGAGTGAATCCTACCTGCACGCGCATTGTCTGGGAGCAGGGAGGTTGGCGGAGCTGAACGGGTCACAGTCCACACGCATTCACTGTCTGGTGCCGATGCCCGTCCAGTGCGCCCCACTCAGCTGTACCGACTGCACGTACCCCTGCACTTACAACCACAGCATTGTGAAGTGGTTTGGGTTGGAAAGGACCTTAAAGATTGTGTTCCATCTAGTCACACCAACCCCTTCCAAAAATCCCCTTTTCAGGCACACGTATTTAAGAGAAATTTTATTTATGAAAGACTTCCTGATCAAAATTTCTTAAAAGTTGAAAAAGACGATGTGAGTTTACGGCAGAAATGACTTGAAATATAATAAATTGCACAAAATATCAGCACTGATCATACAGCTCTTCAAAGGTAATAGGCATGTACTAAAGAAACTGTAGAGTCTAGAAATATCCCAAGTATGTCTAGTTTACAGATTGCTGTACAAAAAGCAGTTATAAATACTTCACATCTAGAAAAAATACACAGAACCTTTGAAATAGACTTTCCCTTACATATAAACAACCTTTGTAGAAAAAACCAAACACAGCCGATACGGGCCAATCCCCCTGCTCCTACATATGTTTGAACTAGTACGGGTTAGCATCGACATCGTTTTGAAGTGTGCCACAAACAGGAGTCGGGTTTTGTATGTTAAAAATAATTTTAACGCATACAATGTAATTACGACCAAACAGGGACTAGAAAAGATCACACAGTATGGTACATTCGTCATTTGATGGGAAATGAGAATACAGGAGGTGGAAGTAGAGAAATCGTGTTGCAATCGGAAGTGAAGGGCGGTTTGTGCAGCTCTCATTCACACAAGACTCGTGTGTGTGTCAGCAGTGAATTAGTCTGACCCTGGTCTTTCAGTTATGCGTATGATTGATGAAGTCAATACCAGCAGCATCAGGCCTTTTGATCTATTCATTTTTTTGCCATGTCAAAAGTCAAAACCCCCTTGAAATAAGACACCTGTTGTAAAACTGGAATAACTGAAATGCACATTTCCCTAGAACACCTGTATGGAATTGCACTAAAAATGAAAAATAAAACATATTTTGTAAAAAGGAGTCCAAGAAAGGTCATTACAGACAACTCAACAGGCTCAGGTTTATGGTAACGCAGTGTTTCTACATACAGTTTAAAGACTAGAACAATTATAAATCTTTTTTAAAAAATCTACCAACTTTTCTTGTTAATATTAACATCAGTTTCTTTAAGTTAGTAATCTGCCATTACAGGAGCATAGCACCAATTTAATATTTATTGCTGTCATTTATCCCTACAAATATATTTTCCCAAAATATTTACAACTGTACAAATATTACGAAAGTGCAAAATTCAGACTTTATTCTGTGCCACTGCTGTGTTCAGTGTCGAGTCTCACGCACCACGATGACTGCCGTCTTGCCTTTCTTATTGCTGTGTGGTGGGAAGTCACAACACCCTGCTGCGAGTGCAGCAACTCGAAGGGAGAATTTTCAACAGCCGCCTCTACTCCCCCCTCACTCCCCACTCACCTTCAGCTGCGTTACGTGCTGCAGCCTCAGCCCACAGGGAGGTGCCTCTAGACATCGTTTGAGCCTTGGCTGGCACAAGAGGAGAAGCTATCGTATAGAGAATCGCTCAGGGATTCTAAATTGTCCACATCGTGCCTTCCTGAGCTATTTAAGGAAGCTTCTTCTTTCCTCCCATTTTCTTCCTTTTGTCCTTCAACCTTGTTCAGACAATTCTTCTCTTTTTCTAATAAAAGTATGTTATTGCTGTTAAATTTATTGAGAGACTCCAGGGAAATTTTAGATAATCCATTCTGGGAATCTTCTTCTGCTTCTTCAGTTTGCTTCAATTTCTGTAATAAGTAAGGGAAATATTAGAAACATATTTCTCATAAAAATAAAGTTATCCTATTGTACACCATTAATTACCATCTTTCCCAAGTTCACAGGGTTAAAGGGAATAGATTGTTAGATGCTTAAATATCTGTTATAATTAAATAGAATGTTAACATCCATTTTAGGATAAATCATAGGTTTAATGATTCTGCTGAGACAAATAGGTCTCCATTTACACAACAGTAAAGTGCTATTTATGTCTGAAGTAGCAGGTCCTGGGTACGCGGATGTTAAGTGTCTCCAGCATCTTCAGCGTAAGTTACATCTTCTCCTTTACAAATACTTTGAGAGGCATGTTTGAATGGGTATTTGTTTAAGTTGAGTTTGGAGTCTGCTAAAAAAAAAAAGGTGCATAGACATGTTCAGATGAGAAAACAGCATTTTCCATAAATTACAGACACAAATGAAACTTGCTAGAGAATTACCTCACATTTTGCATGGAGCAAGCCTATTGATTTCCATGGACCCAGACCCTCTCTAACAGACAAGAAAGGAACAAGACAGGAAATTATACTGAACGAGGCCAATCCCCACAGAACAGAATCAATCAGATATCGGCCAAGCCTACTCGGAGAAGTGTTTTAATTCTGCAGGAACACTGGATGATGTTATTAGCACATTATATTAAAAACGCACAGTAGGATTATACAAGAGTAATTTTATCCCTTTGGTAGCTACTGGTATTCTCAATCAGCGATCTGCCCAAGGATTAGTTAGGAAACTGCGCAGGGAGCAGTTCAATAAAAATGACCTGCTGTTTGTACACAGGGTGATTCAAAGTCTGCTTAACTAACTCCTCTTACAGATAATATTTATCATTCAAGTATGAGATAACATTCAACATTTTGCATTCAACATTCAACAATCTCTTGGAGAGATAAGATTCAGGAAGTCTGAGACATGCTGTCAGAGTGCAAGCCATTCCTCATTTTTGGTATTACCGTCAGATAGCGAAGACTGAATCAGTAAAGTACTGTCAATCCAAGACATAAATATTTTGGTTTAGCTAGAAAATGAAATGGTATTTTAAGTACGCTGAAAATACAGTGCAGCCAGATGCATGGATGATGCAGGTCATTACATATGCAGTTGTAACGTGTTGATAGAATTTTGGGAAGAATTCAAGTTTCAGGTAAGTCCAATGTTGTGCATGCTGTGCTGCTTATCCTTGGAAATCTTGGGCTAGATGAAGACAAATCGCTACATAGTTTGATTGCTTGTTTTTATGGATAGTTAGATAAAAATCGAAATGCCAGTCCGATGACTGTTTATGTTATGATCTTGTCATATTTCATCAGCTAACAATGCCTGGATTAGGTTAGTATTTTTATCGAATGTTTCCAACGTTAAGCAAAGCAACAGGAGATGCCAGAGTCTTAGTAAATGAAAATTTTCTGTTTGGTTCATTAATTAATCTTCATTCTGAAAGATTTTAGGAGATACTATGTTAGATTCTGATTTTAGATGACAGTTAAAACTAAGGTCTTCAATATCTGTAATTAAAATGTTTCCTGAAAACACTTGGTAATGAAAAAAAGGCAAATATAGGACCCTTTCATAGACATTCTCCACAGTTTCAGCTTAGAATAGTCTTCCCTTTGCCCTCATTTAAAATACTACACAGTATTACTGAAACAGTTGTTTCACTTCTCTGTAGGCCAGATGAGAAAATTCTCAGACACGGCATCAATACCATGCGTATAGGCACTGTTTTGCTCTTCAGAGTATTAAACCTGAAATACTTTATTATATGACAGACTAAACGATCTTTCTTTGTGTAAATTTTTCCCACTTCACAGGGTTTTTTTAGATAAATTGAATATGGCTACTTAGCACAGACTTGGGTCTGCAAGAAGTCAATACTGGTGTTAGTAAGGTCTATGATAAAACTTCTATTGATTCAAATGGAGCCAATTTCAACTACTGGGTAGGAGGAGCAGAGACACCTAGAGTATTTCCTGCACAGAGCAGTCCAGATGAAGTATCGAAATACAAGTAGGCTCTTTGGCTGTCTGAAGAAGAGATTTAAGCCAGTGGACAGACTGGAGTGAATTCAGCAGTGTATTCTGCATATATGTAGTATCAATAATTTATTATACCCTTACAAGTACAACCTAGACTACAATCCTACTTTAATCACACCCTAGTTTCTCATTTAAAATAAGGCTAAGTTTATAAAATATATTAGGAAACTTCAGGGAACAGAAGTATTCTCTACAAATTTCAAGCAAAATCATTGAATTGAATCAAATGAAACTGAAGTGAACTGAAGCCTGTCAGTGAAGCCCACTGGCAAAAGATACACAGAATATTGAACAGTACATCTATGATACATCAAGAATTAAAGGAAAAACTAATTCTAAAAGTTGTTGCAGCAAAATTTATTACTGAAATAGAGACAAAATTCAGAAATAAGTTATGGATATTTCTTTGAAATACAGTTGTCCTTTTTAGATGTCTTCAATGCCCAGTTCTATCCTTTTGTAAATACACCTTTTCTTTAATACACCTTTTAAGTACACCTTTTCTTTAACACATCATTACCGCAATAGTATGGAAGTACGCAAAAGTAATGCTCATGTGCTGTGGGCAGTAATACTTTATGTTTTTTCATTTGATGTAGGTGTAGTCTATAACATATAATACAATACAAACTGTATTGTAATACAATACACTGGTTTAGGCCACTTATTGCTAATTTTATCATCAGTTAAGAACGTGAGGTCATCTGGATGGGGCTTCTGGCAAGGAATTAATATTCTAGAACTGTACTCAGATATCAGATGTACAAGATGATCTTAGCTCATGATTTTATTTAGGAGACCTGCACTTAAATCTGTTAAATTATATATGGAATAAAAATAAATTTGTGGTTAGAAAGTTAAAACGTGATATTCTAGTCCTTGACACACTGAAGAACACTCATTCACAGCCTGAGCTCCGTAAGCAAAAATAAACTGTAAGCAGAGAAATTAATGTAAGAATTTGCATAATCAATAAATAATTTTCTCCCATAGTAACAAAATAATGTACATTCCTAGAATTGAAAAGTCACTGATAATTTCTTTTAACTTGATGTGTCAGAATAAATGTTACCAGAGCTTTAAGAATTCTTTCTCTGGTTGCTCTAGATATCAAAGAGTGTTTATTTAGATTTATCCTTACTTAAGTGTCTTATTTTTCATGGCAGTCACAACAGCTGCTTGATGAATCAAAAGACAAAACCAAAGAAACTATCATTAGAATTTGTTTGATAAATTGTGTCTGTGGTTAAGTAGTGCCTTTTAGTTTTGTTCATGTAGATTTGTTACTGACTTCAGCAGAGTCGTAGATCTAACAAAGAACAAAGGTTTAGCCCAAAGATGTTAGTATTTTGCCTTTTAAAGTAATTAGTTGATTTAATGCATTTGAGAGCCACACTAATGTGAATCAGTAGCTCTTCCTGCAGATAGGAGCATTTGGCAGCAGATCAGATGGGTTTTGTATGCATGAGAACTGGGTGAGATTTGGTGATAGGGTAGAGTGCACCTAACCTCCAAGTTGTGGGTTCCAATCCAGTCTTTCCTGTATTAGTAGTGACTTTCTGCATAATAAGGAGGTAGGTTTATCACCACAGGAAGAAAAAAAAAAAAAGGACTTGGTGATGATGTTCAGCATTGCTAGAAGAGCCAAGATGGAACGACAGTATGTGCTTGCTCTCAGACAGGATTCATCTTAGAAGTATACTCATAGGATTTGAGGTGTTGACTTTGCTGATGATTATTCTGCTTCTATGAATAAAGTGTTTGCTGTGTTCGGTGTGGTCAATATTAACTTAAGGGAAATGGTAAAAACATGTCACAGGTTTTGGTCTAAAGGAGAAAAAAAGGCTCAGTGCAGAAAAGGACTATGATTTTCACAGTGCCTCTGTAAAAGCATTGGCCCATCATTGTAAAGCAGCTCAATGAACAACTTGTTTTACTTATACTAACTATATTTTTGTATAGAAAAGACGTACTGTTATAGCCTTAGAGTATAGGAAGCATTTGTTGTTCTACTCTGTTGTAAGTGGAGAGCTCCTGACCACTGGAGTTTCTTAGCTAGTCAGTATGGGGTGCTTTATACCACCTGAGAGCAGTGACTATTTGTCAGAAGAGGAGAAACTCTGACATAATACAGACATTCATCACGAGTCACATCACTTTGAAATAACTCCATGAGTCATGAATCAGAATAATGTTTCCTTGTTGGCAACATCCTAAAGGGAATAACTAAAACCCATTAGTGATATAATAAAAGCTGGCATGTCACTTCAAGCACAGCAAATTACGAAAACAAAAGTAGCCTGCAGTTACACTGATACATTATAAATAGGTGTTATTTCTACATTAATACATCAAATTAGATTTTTTTTAAACTTTAAAAACGAGAGGTTACATGTGGGTAGAATGCATTTTCAGTGCTGTATGATCAAGGACCAGTGACAACTGTAGCTGCTGTGAATGGCAGAAGGGCTCTGCAGGTCTAACAGGAAGGAGCAGGGAAGGATGGGCTGGTTCGCAATACAGAGGACCCCACAGCTGGCGTGAAGAAAGGGATGCAACAGCAAATCCAGCTTTTCTGTATGGTTACCCCTGATTGCCTGGAGGTTAGGCTATGCTTAAAAGGCATGTCAGAGCCCAGAATTAGCAACGAACCATTCTGCAGGATAAATGTATTTTCCAGCTAAGTTTAGTTAACCAGCACTTTAAAGGGCTCAGAATCAGTTACACACAAGAATAAAATGAACTTTATTTATGTCTCTCATGCACTGGGCAATTTAGTTTTTAGATTAACACAAAAGCAGGAAGGGCATTGCTTCAAGTGAAGTATAACTGCAAAACACTATTGGGTAAAACCAACTAAATTGCTATGAGAATTAAATATAGATCAACAGAATCAATACTTAATTGCATAACTCAAGGTCTTTCATTTCAGATCTGATCTCTAATAGGAGATACAAAGTATGTGCACTTTTTATTTTTTTAGTTATTATTTAGAACTTTATTGTGAAGGAAAACGATTTTCTAGATTTTTACCTTTTTAAAAAACGTTCGTTACTTTGTCAGCATATGTTCAAGGGAAACTTGATCCCACAGTGCCACTGTTTCTTATTTTAAATTCAGAGTTTCGCCAATTTAGATATCCTCTAGTCCTATAATTGCTTTGTCTTTATGACACAATGGGTCTAAGTGGGATATGCAGTTGCAGCATTTCGTAGGTTGCTCACATATAACCTATTTAGTAGATGGAACATTTTTAATATGCTCACAACTTCTTGTAAAATAGATACAGAGCAGTATTCTGATCAGAGACATACCGGTGTAATCAGAAATAACTTCTCACTGAATTCAGTGGTATTACACAACCAGTTTTCAAGCAGAAAGGTGTATCATGAAAAGGGTTGGTTTTGAACTGCCAAAGGTAGTAGCTTTCTAATAGCTAGTCAGGACAGAATGCAATGGTGGACTCTCAGTGGAAAGTGAGCACTCTCTAGATCTCATTTAACATCAGCTGGACCGGTAACACTCCGCAGTAAAAATAGTTGTACAGTCACATCCAGAAAACTACAAAGGTGAAAGCTGTAACTGTGTGACCTCTGCTGTATTATAGCTGAGCTAAAATGTGATGTTTGAACTTCTTTCCCTTTAAAGCATAATCTTAAATAATAAGATAAGCCTTGCTCTCCCTTGTCATAAGCTTTCATCTATTCTCTGGATTGACAGTAAAATAATTTTTTAAATAATGAACCCCTTTTCTTTTTTTCTATTTGACGAGAAATCCCATGAATATTTTGCTGTAGCAGACAATGACATTCTTTAAGATACACCATTAGATTTTCAAAATAAACAGTAAGTGAAAGTTTCTTTTCTTGGGGAAAAAAAAATACATTGATATGATTTATTTTTAAGTTCATTAGTCTGTTCAGCAGTTTATAGGAAGGCCATATATACCTAGGTATATGTCATCCACTTCTGGCATTATGGGTAATACACTAATGACAACAGAACCAAAGCTTGCCTACTGCATTTAAGAGTATAACAATCTACAAATTTATTTTAGTATTGCAAGGACAGCATTTCTGATGATCCTGAATTGTAAGTAAATTACCTTAGAGGAAATACAGCTGATTAGCATGAACTGTGTATGCTTCATAGCTGCAGATCTGGACAAAACAGCCATCGCTTAATGAATAGGTGACTGAGAAGTTGAGACTTATATTGTCTATTCCTGAATTCTTGTGTGGTTTAGGAGATAAAAGATAGTTTAGTGAATTAAGCCTTACACTTTCAGAAGCATAATTTTAATAAAATGATGAAATGACTTGGTACATTCAGGATTCTAATGACAAGAATATTATCCTCATAATTTACAAAGTATATGATTATTTTGTTGATATGACTAGACTGTTTGACCCGAGTGGGTATATACCAACCCTTTTAGAACGTTTCCTCATTTAATAAACTGGTATTTTCAGGTCCTAGTTTCCAGGTTAGAAAATGTAGCTTTTTGCCTTCATCTCAGTTACGAACTGAATGCCACAAATGTGGTTGTTTTCTCATAGTGCCTCAGAATGGCCACTGGCTGCATTAACTGTGCATGGACAAAGTTTAGTAAGAAAATACAATTCTGAGTGGCAACATCTTGGAAAAAGGTCACAATGCAGGTTCTCAGTCAAGTGTGTTAAGGGTATTTATTAAAAAGAAAATAAATTAAACACCAGTACTTTCCTCAGAAGGTAAAGCAGGGCCTCATATTGGCAGAATCATCAATTTTGCTTCTCACAGAGGGAATCTACCCACTACAAGCCATGCCTACTGCAGTCAGAGGCTCACCACAAGGCATTAAGGAAGAAATGTCCATGGTGAGAAAGGAAGCTGATAGTCAGTTTTTAGAACCTGACAGACTGAAAATGAACAAGACATGCATAGGATACACTTACTTTTCAGAGATCCTTTTAACTTCACTTGTAGAGGGAGTTAAATAACAAAACTGTTTCTAGTGATTGGAAAAAAATCACAGTGAAAAAAAATTTATTCTGAAAGATAAGATTGCTGACATATTTACTGAACTCAGCTTAACCATCTGAAGTTCAATACTATTCCTTGACAGAATTATGCTGAAAGTTACGATGCCAGTGATAAGCTACTGAATGGTACTGGAACTGTGCAGTCCTAAGTAATTTCACCATTTCAGTCTTCATCAGACTGTATTTCACCATGCAGCATTTAAATATACAGAGGTTTGTCCTACTGAATGAAAATAGTTGTTCTTACCTTGATGGAAGTAGGCTGATTGTTTCAATAAAGAAGAGGCTTTCTAAAAAAGGGCCTACAATTTTATCCTAGATTAGAGGCTTGGAGGATTTTTTACTTTTTTCTTTGAATTGGTATACTTAGAACTGAATCAAGAAGGGGAAAAATAGAAAGATTTTTTAAATCTAATAAAAAATACAGTCCTTAAAGAGACATATTCTATCCTACATTTTGACTGAAGCAAAAATTCCTCTCAAACTCAGTAAATGCAGGATCATACTCATACAACATATAATCTCACTGACATTTGCAGTAATCAGGGTCATTTTCTGTACAGCTGAACTATTCCCAGACTACTGTTCCTAAGTCTCAGCTATGTTCTTACCCCTCTTCATCTTCCACCTTTGGCTTTTTTGAACAAGACTATTTATTTTGGTAATTACAAAGACACTTATCCTCTCACTCTCTAGTGATGTCTCAGTTCCTGGCCTGTAATGTCTGTATTGTCAGCCACCCAGCATACTGATGGAAAATGGAACTGCACTTCAAGACTGTACTGCAAATGGTAATTTGTAGTGGGTAATGATTTTCCACACTAGTAACCCTCTCTTTAGAGTACCAGACTAGAACCACTTCAGGTTAGCCTGTGACTATCCAACGTACATCAGCTGATCTAAGGGCAAAAGGACAGAAGGAGATGATATACAAGGAGCAACGTTATGTAGCTGCACCAAGAGCAAATCAGCAGTATGAAGAAACCATGTAGAAATAATTCTCTGAGCTATGAAAACTGGCTTGTGTATGCACTAAGAGGGCTGCACTGTCTGCAGCTCTCTTGCTGCATTCAACACTAAGACTGTCTGCAGGGGCATTCGAAGAGTATGAATCTCTGCTGGAAGACCTGCAGAGGAAAGAAAGGGAATGTCCCTTACAAGTTTTAAAGATGATTCATAGAGGTAATTTAAACAACAGAGTAAGATCCACAGCCAAATGGTTTTCTCATTTTTAGCCTCTGAGGAGAAAAGTTGGGAAGAGACAAACAATCTTTCCAGACCCATCAGTCCACCTCTGTGTGACTGCATGTTTAGCTGCTAAGGAGGGAGCCTTCATGTTTTGCGTACACAGTGCATGCACATCAGAATGATACCTCTTCCAAGCTCTTACTAAGCAGAAATACAGAGGTGATAATTTTCACATTTGGAATCAAGATCTTTATTCTTAAAAAAAAAAATCTGAATTAGGAATCTTAAACCTCACCCCAAGAAAAGTTTATTTTAGGAGCCTGAAGGAATTTTCCTTTCCACTCTGGGTATGGATATGGGAATGTGGATAGACGATCATAGAATCATAGAATAGTTAGAGTTGGAAAGGACCTTAAGATCATGCCACATATTGCACTGGTAGGGGCTTCTGGAGGCAGCAGAGGAGGAGGCTGTAGCCCAGGCTTCCTTCCCAGTAAACCTGTTGCAGCCTCAACTATGTGCATACTGTTTTCTGACATTCCTGTGCAATGAGACTATGAAGGAGAAAAAATTACTCCTGTAGCTGAACCCAGGACACAGTTCCTTTGTAATCAGAGAAGACTGGGACAGGACAGATGCAAATAATGATGCTGGTTACGTGACTGCACTTGTCACCTCTTCAGCTGACATTATGATCTGCACAGTTTTCAGTACGAATTCAAGCAAAGCATGAATTGCAGAATAGAAACCTCTGTGTAAGTCCATCTGCATCAAATCCTATGTAACGGTACAGTTATTTACATTTACTTTCTAAATTTATGCAAACAGTTTATCTTTGCTGTAGGGCAGAATATTCTGAGGGACAGAAGCACAACATACACAAGAATCTGAGTGGGAATTTCAGATATAGGCTGCAGAACCAAATTAAAGCAGAAGGATAAATCCTCTCGCAATTTTTAGTTCATTTCAGTACACCGAGTTGTATCAATAAACAGCCCATAGTATAAGTCAGCTAGAAAATAAATGCTATGAAGGATGTTCCATTTTATGTCCTTTGAATTTGATTAGTGATTAGTCTTGGTGGTTAAACCACATGGGAACAGTAATCAAGGTTTCTCTACTGTGGTTCTGTAACAACTGGAAAACACTGTTGGCTCATGTCCTATACCATGATGGGATAGTAACCTAAAATCTAATTAATCTATGAATGAATTATGGTTCTAGAAACATACTATATTATAATCAATTTTAAGTGAGTTCCTAACAGAAGATAAGATGAAGAAAAAGCTGTAAAATTACCAGAGGTTGATAAATTCTGTTTACTATGACTGATGATTTTTATGGAGGATAATTTTACAATCCATCAAACTTTTGTCAGTTCAAGAATCATGCTGCCAAATGTATGCAGTAAATTAATTTTTGAATTTACATACTTATTAAAAATCTTATTGAAAACAGCAGGAAGTAAGCCTTGCTTGAATAATAAAATAACTTGTTATTCTACTGGAAAGAAAACAAACAAAAAAACCCCAACTAACTTTCTATTAAGATGATTTTACAGTAAGGCAATAATTATAAACAGCTACATGAATTAGTTAAGCAAACAATGTATTAAATAGCCAACCCAAAATTAATCAAGAATTAAAAAAAAAAAGTTGGAAGATAATAAATTAAAAAATGTAATTTAAAAGCTGAAAAATTCATGTCTGACTTTCAGATGTGCCTGAGGACATGTTAACTCAGGCCCATTGGCAGGAGCTCCCGAATTCCCTGTGGAAGCATGTGAGCTGCAGATGTTTGCCCATGTGGCTTCCCCACTCCAGGTGCTGAACAGGAAAGGAGCGTTAGCAATCTTCTTGTGCACATGGCCACAAGAATGAGCCCAGTGTCATGTGCTGCTGGCTCAGAAAATCATTCTGTGACACAACTCTCTGTTTATTCTTACAGAAGTCCACTGCAAGAAGGTGTTACAGCTGCACCCCAGGTCCTCCTGCTAAAAGCTGAACATGAACCATAGAAACATCTGCTGAACAAGGGAATAAACAACAAAGGAGAAAAGACTACGACACACAGTAGGAGGTGGCATAACCCACAAGGACTGCAAGAACTACTTCCCATCATTTATACAAGGAAGGATGAAGTGTGCCAAAATGGCAGCACTGGGAAGCACGGTGTTATGACTTGAGGCAAGTAAGGCACCTCAGAGACCAGCCTGGCAGAGTTCTTGAGTGTGTCTACTTGCAAGGCCAAATTTCACTGTTACCCATCAGTTGTTACAAAGATTTTTCTGCTTCATCTTTGATGTGTTGCTCCACCACTGTGATTCCTGTACAATCCATCTACCACATAAATGCTCCTGGTATCAAAAAAGCAGCGGAGCCAGGCCTCATGTCCTCTTTGTTTCCTTTTCTGGCCTCACCTTCCCAATTGCTGCAGTGTTCTTTGTCCATTACCACCGCTGGGACCAGCCATTCACACTCTTAAAATACATACTTTGTATATATAAAATAGGTAAGCCATCCTGCCTGCATCCATCAGAAACAAGACTTGCATGATGGTAACAACTGTGCTTCCTCCCTCAGCCTTCTCACTTGTCTCATGAGAGACCAAGGCGAAGGAACAGGCCTCTTATTTGATTTATGGATTATGGAGTACCTGGTGTATGTTCAAATACTGCAGTATGCCTGGTATCAGAGAATCCGTGTCTTTGGGGTGTCTGCCACTTACGAGAAGAGCACTATGCCTCCGCTAGTGGTGATAATACCAAGAACAGAAACAGGCCCAGACTGGATTGAATAATTTAATCAGTGGACTAAAATATATCCTGATGGAAATAAAAAAAAAAAAAAGAAAAGAAGATTGTAACTGATCTCATGTTTACCAGACAACTCAAGAATACAGTCCTGGGCTGTGACTCGGTAACTGTGTAGGTTAATTCAAAAGGAAACAAGAGAGACAGGGCTACATGCAGGGAATAGGCAATTCATATCACAAATGCAGATTGTAGATGATAGTCCTTTGCCCAGCTCTAAAGGACGATCAAAAAGAAACATTGTGAATTAAGCAGAGTAATGCTGGGTACCAAGATGACCATTGCTGAAGAAGCATATGGAAGTTCCTAGAGCCGGGAGATTTATGAAGTGTTTAACTTGCCTCCTCACAAAATTAAAGCAGTGATACACATCACATTTTAATGAACACACGTATCATTTGGCTGTGATCCAAGGAGAATTTTAGTTAATTTATAGGTTTAGATTTGTTTTCTTCATCTTTTAGACACAAGTACATCTGTTCCTGGTCATGAGAACCTCTATTCTGCTTTGTGGTTCAGCCAGGCATACGGAACATCTCTCACTTGGATCTGGTAGGAGGCACTAGTGGTTGCAAACTTTCTGGAAGGGGCACAGCCTTGAAACAGAAAGAGGTCAAGGACAAGTGTGCTGGATAGACCTTTGACTTTCCACCTTTGCCTTTTCTGGATACCAGCAAGGTTGGGGTTAAGCAGCTAACGAGATCTGAAAGGCTGGTAAACATTTGTGCTGAGTCCACCTGGGCCATAAAAGCACCCTCTTTGAATATGATGTGTTACTTTGACAAGGCTTTGGAGACTTTTTCAGAGAAAGGAAACGCAGTGAAAATATATATTGGGAACACCAGTTCTCTGCGGTCTATTTGGCTGTGAGAAAACTTTCGCTGGGAACAAGCAAAGAAGGAATTTGGTGTGAGAAACCAGGACAGGCTCCTGTTCTCACTGTGAGATTCCTGCAGTGACACAATAATGCAGTATTTTTTGTATTGGTTTTGCTACAATTGTGTATAAATAAAGAAATGTGTACGTGAAGTGCCAGCCAGCCATGGGAATGGATCTATGGACAAAGGCTTTAGAAGATTTATTGACCTCAGCAAGACAGAAGTGTTATTGCAGTATTAATGCTGCAAACTCTTGTGAGATACAAGTAATACAGAACATGTTCATATGCCTAAAATACAGATTATAAGATTATTAATATAATAGGCCACTAGGAGGACTAAAATACAACTGGAATTCATGCAGACACATGAAACTCATGCAAACTAATATGCACTCATTTTCTGAAAGACCAAAGGTGATACAAACAGGATATTTGGATAAAAATACAGAATAAAGCAGTTCCCAGCCCCACTATTGAATGAATAATTTGAAAAGTGTTGCTGAAGATAAAGAAGTATTTGACATTAATTGGGGGAAAAAAAATAAAACTGGAAGTGTTGATTTCTTCAATATTTTATATTATTCAGGATTCAAATACTTGTAAGAATGGATTAAAAATTTCCTCTGTGCACAGACTCTGTTAGGAGCCCTGTACGGACAGCAGGACTGCTGAAGGTGGTAGGTATAGTTCTGCTTATGGAAAACTCTTTGCAGGATCCGCATGTGAATTTGCTTCTGACATTCTGAAAACTCCTTAGCAAAGGGGCGATGTGTTTGTGGTTTTAGACTTTGTAATGCAAGATCATATCTTGGGTAAGAATGCTTGATGAGAATATTAAGTGATAATGATTATTTGCCTAGCTCTGCTCTGGGGCCTTCGAAGCCCTCAAAGCAGCCTGCTAACAGTACTGGATTAAATTCCAAATGCAGCTGGAAGGTAGTATTTATATTCTTT